TCCCTCAGGACACTGAAGTTACAGTTAAGCAGTTAGCAACCCCAGTACAGAGAGCAAACCAAATTGCCCATGATATATGTTATTGGAATTACGTTACTGTGCTAGATCCCTGCCAAATTACCCCAGAGGGTTATTCGCAGCACACAGGGAGCATGGAACTGCCTGCGCTGAGACGGAGAGGAGCCACCAACCCAAGAACACTTTGCAAGACTGATGACTCTTAGGAAGAAGCAGAGACCCCCTGGGTGCGAGTGCTTGCACTTCACATGGAGTTTGGGTGCTTTTAATACATCTTGCTGGGCCCTGGGTGCTGGAGGACCTATCCCAATGGGAGACACAGGGCTGCGGTCCCTTCACTACTGAAACTGGGATCAGACTCTAACAGCCCTCCCAGTGCGGGCAGAGCTCCCTTGGGAGCAGGAGGATGCTCAGTTTTTGGTCTCAGACAATAGCCCAGGCAGAAATAGCCTTACCCTTGGAGCTAACAGTCTGCATTTGACTTCCCCTTATGGCCATGGAAGGTTCCAGCTTCCTTCCCGCCAGTCTCCCTCAAAGGAGGAATTTAGCATCCTTCCAATAAATGCAATGTTGTCCTTGGCTCTAAAAGATCTTCCTGATTTCAGCTCAGCTTGACAGATGGTTCTTATTTGCTCTGCCCCCAGCTGAGTGCTCCAATAACTGAAGGTATCAGAGGTCCAATACCCAGCTGAAAGCACTGGCAAATGGCTTCCACATTCCAGTTTCAACTGGCAAAGACAGGGAGCGGGGAACTGGATCTTCAGTTCCTGGTTTCCTCTGGCTTAGAATTTCCCTGTCATTTACCCCACTGCACATCTAGAGTGTCTGCACTGATTTCAGCAGTGCTAGGCCAGATCTATGCCTGGGGGAGAGAAGAGCTTGTTCTTTATTTCAGGAATGCCTTGGCTTATGCATCACGAGCTCTCACACAGTACAAATCAGAGAAATTCCTTAATAGGCCTGTGTGCTGGGAGAAGCTCTTCCTCTTGCCACTTGTGGAAGCATATTAAATCCATATATCATCTGTATATAGTTTCCATAAACACATATGCACAGCGATGCTGAAGCCCATGGCCAAGGCTGCCCATGGAAGCGGAGGGGTGAGGCCATGAGCTCATGGTGTCAAGTTGGACAGGCTGTGAGAGCACTTCCTTATGAGAAGGAAACTCTTACACACTGAACACGTTCCCTCCCTTGCTGTAGTGAATTTCTCTTGCACCTTCCATAAGCCTGGCTCAGAGAAGCTGTTTCCCATTGTTCATGTAAGAACCTATCCTGCTATGGCTCCGGGTGAGTGGCTTGCTTGGCACATTCAGGTCTTTGGGGGTGATTTTCTACCCAAGGAATTCACAGTGAAATGCCGCGGCAGATCCTGGTTCCTTTCACACAGACACTGGTCTCAGCATGCCCTTCACAGCCTTGGAGAGCTCTTCATGTCCTACCGGGCATCAGAGGTGATGAAGAACTCTCAAGCTGATGCTTGTAACGAAGAGGAGGTTTTGTGCTAAGGAGAGTGAATGACTTAACCAGTGGGAGGGCAGCAGGAGGGCTGTGTGCCCTGCAGCACCGGCTGATGCAAAACCCTGGCACCTCATCAGCCCAAAGGCATGATCCGAGAGAGAAAGAGGGGGAAAGAAAGGGAACATGAAAATCATGTGAGTGAGACTGGAAGGGACCTCACCAGTCTGCCTCTCAGCCCCAGGAGAAACTCCATGCCACACACGGATCGGATCCTGAGCCCTGGAGTGCTGAGCCTGGACTCCTGAAACCCTTCCTAGGTGTAGGAAAGCTGGTCCTGAGGTGCTCTGGCTGCCTAGGCAGCAAAACCACTTAGGAGCAATGTGAGCAGTCGATAACAGAGGAAAGGGATAACAACTAAAATCCTAAACACTTGTCACCAAGAATACCTTCCTGGGGTGGGGAACCCACCTGGAGGGGTGAAAGGGAGGCACATGAGCAGCATCAACACTCCTTAGGCATATTATCAACAAGAGACACAGAAAGCCTATAGGAAGCCTCCTATATTTTTCTCAGCTGCATGATTCCCCCTTGTGTCCATCTGTGTGTGTGTATTTAGGATTCCAGCTCTGCGTTAGCACTGTGCCCAATGCATGTTCCCAGCCCTGACACAAGAGTGCCCATGAAACTGTGTCTCTCCTGTTTTCCCCTTTGCCCAACCAGCTGCTTCCAGCCCTGGTGAGAAGGATAAGTCATGAGGAAACACCCACAGAGACATGGCATCTTCCTGGTGATCCCATCAGCTTCGGATCCGGGCCATTTAGTGACGACAGAGGAGCAGGGAAGCACAGGCAAACATTGTACCCTGTTGGGTGCAAATATGTGTTAGTGGCTTCAGAGGTACATCAGTACCAGGTTAATGCGATGGCTTTGAATCCTGGACAAGATGCTGCAGGGAAATGAAATCCATAAACCCATACAGAGTGGGACTTTAAAATGAAGATGCATTTCTTTCCGTCCTCCTATGGGTGAGCTCTGCTCTCAGCTGGGAGCTCACAGGACAAAGCCCTGTGTGTGAGGGCTCAGCAGAGGCAGGCATCGCTTGGTAGCACCCTTTCCCCCCACCATCTGTGGGTGCAGTCCCTGCCTGGCACATCAGCCCTGCAGAAAGCAGCCTGGAGCAGCTGCCCTCGGGATCTGATCCAAGCATGAGGATATTAAGAATGTCTCTGTACCCTCTACAGGAAATTTAGGATCAAGCCAGTTCCACGTCAGAGCCACAGCACTGCTTGTGATGTGTTTGTGCACAGGACAGCCTTGGGGTACAGCCTGAGCCATCCAACGGGAGCTCTGTTCTGCTGCGCACCAGGGTGCTTGCAGGTGGCTTCATTTCCCCTTTGTTATTAAAACTCTCTGTAGGGTAAAACACCAATTCAATCAATTCTTGTTTCTTAGGAAGGCTGTTGCCATAACTCTGAATTCCTTGTGCCGAGGCAGCAGCAGGAATGGTTCACACCAATACTTGCACCATAAGTTTAGGAACGCTGTCCTTGTAAAAGCAGTTGGACTAAATGACGGATGAGCAGAAGGAAGAGCAGCTCCTATCTAGTATCTGTACCAGGCAGCAAGCATCACCTGCGGGCAAAGCCTTTTATCCTGCAGCATAATATCTCCTTTTCAGGAAACAGAACTTCCTCCTGGTTTTCCACAGTCCCCTCCGGAACTTCCAGCTCTTTCTCTCCTTTTAACTCTTCAAGCTGAGAGACGCCGACAGCAGAGGTGCAGGGAGGGAACAGAAGGCCACAGCAGAAGGGAAGAATGGCATTGAACATGGCTGGCAGATGATCAGTTGCCATCTCGTTCCCTTTGATGGCTGTTTTCACTGCTCATGGGTTGAGGCACGACAGGAAAGGATCCTGTGCTTTGAAATGTGCTGGCTCTTTGTTAAAGGAACGAGTTGAAGGACTGCTTTAGTAGCCCTGTGGACCAGACCAGCTTGCTGATGCCTTCCCCGAAGTTATCCCCTCCTGTGTGTGTCTTTCCCACCATATTCCAAGCACATCAAAGGGGAATACAGCTATCCCCCAGGATTTTGGCACTGTAGAGACTCAAATGCAGTGCGACCAGCTGTTAAAGCACCTCATGGAAGAGCATCACTTAGAGCAAACCTACTCCTGTCACTCAGAGGTTGGTCCCAGGTGAAAGAGCCTTTATTTGGGCCTGGAGCTTTAGTTTTAATGCAGGACAAGCCAGAGACAGAGCATTTACCCTTTTAGAGGGTGGTATTTGTAAACACTGTGTGCAATAGCCTGCAAAGATGCTTCAGGAAGCCATAAAGAGGCATGTGTCACCCTCATTGTGGTTTACGCTGGTTTTGCTAGGAGACAATCAGCTAATCCTCTGTGATCTATGTCCCCAAATGAAGTGGGAATGCAGAACACTGCCTTCACCATCCACATCATCTGCCAGCTTCAGAGAATCTATAGAAAAGAAGCTTTTTCTTCTTACTGCTTCAAAGCATCTAAAGATATAACAGTGATCATTAAAGCTTCAGAAGAGACCTCCTTTATGGAAGGACAGAAGTGTCTAGCTTAAAAGGAAAGCAGCTCAAACCAATTACTTGCTGCACTTTCATTTCCCTTTTCCAGCCAGGCAGCTCATTACAGTGATATAATGGGCATTCCTGCTCTCCTGAATGGCATCAACAATTTAGTCAGCACTTTCACCCTGGCAAATCCTACAGGAAGGAAGAAGCATTCAAATGCAAACTCAACATTCTTTCATCCATCCACGTTCTGGGATGGAACAATCATGTCCATTCCTCTTTGGTACATAGGAAAAGCAATCCTCAGAAAGAAAACAAGTTCCATTTTGCCTTGCAGCGACAGGTACTGTGGTACACCAGACATCACTGATGCAGCCAGTGCTTTGAGACAGAACAGAAACTCCCTCAGTGGAGACTTTGCATGATCTTTATTTATACATAACACTTAAAGAGGTTGCATTTGGGAGACAGGGAATAACAGCCAGTGGGAATAGACAGCTTGCAGTGAACAGTAGCACAAAGACCCCATTACATAGACCCGCAGTGATTTGAAAGGGGAGAATCATGCACCAAGCTGCCACATCTTTTCCCTACTTGCCATACCTTCTCACTGTGCTTTCCACTCAGCTGCAATTTATGGGATGTCAAATGGCACAGGATCTGTGGTATCTCTTCAAGAGACCACTGAAAGCAAGAGGGAGATCCAGCTGACTCAGCCAAGCAGCAGCTCAGGCCCTGGGGGAGCTGTGCAGAATCACAGGAGGGAACAGAGGCTGGGCTCCCCTACTCAGCAGGTCCTCCAGATAGCCAGCTTTATTGGGGCACCAGTTCATTCATAGCATTCAGAACCCTTTCCAGTTCTCCACTCTTCAACCACAGCATTAACCCTGAACCTGGGTATCTGTGACCTTCAGAAAACAACATTATACACTCTCCTTCACAGGCAGAAGCTTAGTCCAGCTGTGGGAGAACATGTGCTCAGCAGCCACCATGAGTCTTCAGCTCCTCCTGCCAGGAATCCTACAACTGACTTAAACCTTCAGCCAGATTTAGCCCCAGACAAAACAACCTGACCACAGCCTAAAGGACATGGAGCTGTTTGCTGGTGAACAGCCATCAGCCATCACCAGACAAGCTTCAGCAGCTGGCAGGGAAGAGACCCAAAGATCAGCATTTGTTTCCACAGCAAACCCAGTGACCTGACTCAGGAACAGGGGAAGGAGCACAAACACGGCTCTAGACTGTGGAAAAGAGGGATTGCTAAGCATGGGAAGAGTATCTGATGTGGAGGGAAGTGGTGGGTCCCAACAATCACAGAGGCAATGACCTACAGACACCTTTGCCAGAGGTTAGAAACATCAGCAGCCCACTACTTGGGAAAACCACAGCTGCTTCCTCTTGGCTGGCTGCTTCCCCAAAGGCTGCCTTTCCCAAAGAGACCTCTCCAAGGCTCGCAGCTGCTCCCACCACTGTTGAAAACTATGCACGTGTACCCTACATCCCATGTGAGGCAGAACATGCTGTCAGGACTGGAACCAGTGGTGTGCTCTGAAGGCAACGTGCACTGGGAGCAGGCCCTGCTCTTTTCAGGGCTCAACATTGTTTTTACCACCAAGGACTTGTGTTTTCCATGTTTCCCTCATGCTGGGCAGCTTGTAAGTACCCATTGTCTGTAAGTACCCACTTCCAAAGCTGTAGGAGATGCCTCATGGGAAGATCTCCCTTCCTCTCACATCTACACAGCCCTCATTTGCAGAGACCTCAGGGTGGTGGTTGTGGGAGGTGATGGTGGGGACGGCCAGGGCAGGGAGAAGAGTGTGCTGGCTATGGCAGAAACTCTGGTGCTGCAAACTCATACCCAGGCCTTGACTTGAGTGTTCCAGCCCCTGGCACAGCTGCACAGGCCTCCCTCCTCGTACCAGCACCACTTCACCCCCTTGTACACAGCCCGGCTGTATGGCTGGAAGCACAGGAAGAGACGGAGGCGCCTTGCCAGGCTGCAGTAGATAGCCATGGCCACCACAATGAGAGGGGACATGATGACAAAGCCAAGGATGATGAGGGCAGAAGAGCTGTTGTCATCCAAGAAGCTTTTGCAGTAGTGAGCAGCTGAATGCAGCACCTGTGGGAAGAGACAGAGCTTATCACAGACCTGCTGGTGGATAGGAGCAGTGACCAAAGCACCACTGAGCTTCTTGAGCCTTCACACATCTCTTATCTCTCTCTGAGCTGAGCTTTTAGGCTTCACTATGTGACTGACAACACATTTTAATCAAGCTTTCAATTATGAGCATCACTGCGAGACAAGAGCATTGCACACTGATCCTAAAGCAGGAAACACTCATCTTTATTAAGTCACCAGAACAGCACGGCTTAGTGTTTGATAGGCAGAACCCAAATAAAGAAGCCTCCTGCTGCTACACCGATGTGGGTGGCACAACACACTCCAAATGATAACCAAATAAAGAAGATAGAGCAAGATGGAACACTGTGCACAGGTTGGTCACTCCATATCTACCTGCCCTGGCACAGACCCCTCCGTGTAGTGTCTCCTGTGCACACACTGTACTCATTCCTGCCTCCAAGCATCTCCTTGCGCTGCAAGTGCAGGAAAACCCATTCACCCCATGGTGCTGCAAAGCACCCAGCACACTAAATGGTCCTCCCTGTGGTATTTAAAGCCCCCTTTCATCCTGGCAGCAGATCTGAGTGAAGCCACTCCGTGGTTCTGCATTATAACAAACGCCACAGGCAGCCTCCATGGCCCCAAGCTTTCCTCCTCCAGATTCTTTCAGCAGTACAGCAAACACAACCCATCACGCTAAAAGCATCCATCTAATGGATGTGCAGTGCAGAAAGCAGCCTCTGGTTACCACGAAGGCATTGAAAAGCAGGAGCCCAAAGATAAAGGACTGCTCCTGCGAAGCCATGTGCCTATTGAAGCAAAGGCTGTGTTAAGGCTCCTTACAGCAACACGGCTGCTTTCACCTCTTGGCTGCACTCAAAACCCTTTTGCATCCTCTCAAAACCTTTGTCTGGAGAGCACTTTATGTTGAAGGAGAAGCTGAGGTTTCCCAAGGCGAGGCTCATGCAGAGGGAGGCTGGAAGGGGTGATGCTGGAGGCAGGCCCCATACTTGTCCCCATTTTACCTCCAATTTGAAGCCCAAATTTATGACCTTCAAGGAGCAGTTTCAGATCACGGGAAAAATTGATTTAAGGGCTTTATAGGCAATCTCCTATTAAACCTTCCCTAAAACCCCTCATATCTATCAGGATCTGCATCCACACTATACGGAGGCAGAGGAGGCATTTACCAAGGCAATGACACACCCAAAGAGAATGTATTAGGTTCTTTCTTGTCATTTCTTCCTCATCACCAAACCAAAAGTCATTCTACAGACTTGCCCTTTTGTATGGGAAACTTCTAACATCTATGGACTGTAAAGGTGTGTTGCAGCCCATACTGAAGGAGGTCTGTGTGACTATTCAGGTAGATCAGGACCCCTCTGGTACACTTTTGCTCTCTGTAGCTCCTCCAGAGCCTCCCTCTTTACCCTGTGAGCATCACGCTCATTTGCACCCTATAGTATAATGTCTCCAGAAGGTGTTAGAGCCACAGTGGGAACTGCCTGGCTCAGGAGCACATGATTTCTCTCTGAATTATGCTTCCCTCCAAGTAGCAGCAGCACTGTCCTCTTCTACAAACACTTACCATGACAGATGTCTCCCTGTTCATTAGTTTGCAGGATCAGGAAAAGCTTTTCAATAGCAGCAGCTATGAACTGCCATCATTTCAGGGCAATAAAATCAAAGGCAAACTTCTCAGACCAGCAAATGTATCAGTACTGAGAAAACAGCAATAGCACAGGCCCTTTGTCAGGCCCTTTGAGGCAGGGAGCTTGGGTGTCAGATAGGATGCACATATTGCATTAAGAGGAAGGGGAAAGCTTCTTCTTTAAGTATGTCCCCTTCCATTTAGCTCAGACCCTGTGGAATGGGGAGACCAAAAGCATCTGTATTTTAGGTCCTTTCTTCCGTTGGGAGAAGGTGCTGCAGTGTGTGGGACTTTTCCCCAAAGCAGGAAACAAAAGAGTTCTTCTAAGTTAGGATAAGCAGCAGGAGGAGTCAGATGGAGCTGGTCTGACAGCTCCCGCCTGTGAGCAAATCAGGACTGCTTTTCCACATCCACACTTGGTCAAGTAATTCCAAATACATTTATAGACATATAGCAAGGATAAAATGGTAAGCAATGAAACATGAAATCCAGAGGACAGCAGAAAACCTGGAATAAGCATTCCTGACCAAGTAGGCTCATTTGCTGGGGTGAGAAAATGCACAGCACGTTTGGGAACACATATGAATGGTAGATTGGCATAAGCAGGGGATTATATGTTCTGTTAGACTTTCCTCATTCTATAATGAGCCATTAGCAGATCAAATATGACACTCGAGAGAGCTTACTTAAAGGAAAGCAACAAACCCTATGAGAGCCCATGTAGGGCTTGTGTGAATTATGGTGGAGCTCAGGTTGGCAGCTCTCAGTAACAGAGGTCAGAGGAAAGAGAGAAATATTGTGACATTAAATGACAACAGCAGCTCTGTCACACCAGGGAGCATCCCACAGGAATACAACTTCATTGCCTACTCAAGCTTCTATTTCCCACCATACTGGAAGAAGGGAGGGGTAAAAATCCTTCCTGCTAGCCTTCAGGGGTGCCCACAAGGTTGGCACCTCTTGTGAGCTGGTTGTGCAATGGTGTAGCTTTATCTCTGACCACTTAACACTTAAACAAGGGTACCCAATGCAGTGTGCAGGGGATCAGGACCAAGGGGTCCCGCGCTCCCCAAGGAGCTGAGCAGTCACAGGCAGCTTCTATCCCTGTTCTGTTCCCTCTCCTGTGGGAGCCTTTCTGTGCTATCCCATTGACACTGAATGTATGGGTGCCAACCAGCATTTAATTAGTCCAGAAACCATAAAGCCTATCCATCCCTAGACAAATGCACATTGCCTGTAGCTGTGTCACAGGCATCAAGCAGGAGAGACCACTCCTTTGCACCACCAAGAACCTGCAGGTCAGCGTGAACAACCATAAACCTGTTCTTGTGAGCCCACCCATAAAACCCTTATGGATGGCCCTGCCTTGGAAGTGGCTGTTTGCAGCCAAATGGAGCAAGGCTTACTTACTTGAGAGTGGCATTGGAAGCCAAAGTAAACCACCACAATGGTAGGGAGCAGCACGATGGTGAAAATCACAAACATCAGGAGCAGATTCATGAGAAAGACCAAGAGGTTCATGGTAGCAATCAGCAGGGTCCAGGCCAAGCAGCACCAGGTGCTCCGTCTCTCCCTGGGAAGGAGCTGGTCATCCATGTCATATGGTGGGAGGCTTGGAAGCATCCGAGACTTCTCCGAGAGGTTTCCTGCTCCAAAGTCCTCAGTGTCCTGGCCAGACATTCTTCAAGAGGATCACTGATGAACCCACACTCTTATCCAAAAGGGTTTCTTTGCTTCTGGCCACAGACCTGGGAAGGAATTTGCAGAGGCTTTTCCTACCTCTTCCACACAGGGACAAGAATACTTAACCAGAGATCATAATGGAGCAGGGAGGGAAAGGCCTCTTTTGGGCACCTGCTTTCCCAGCACCCAGCAAGGTTGTTTCCTTTCTGGATGTTCTCCAGCAGTGTCCCAACCTCAGTTTCAGAGCAGATGTGGCTGCTGGAGGTTTGGTGATTGCTATTATTTTGCTGTTGAATCCATAGTACTACTGAATTTGCTCTTCTTCCTAGGATTATGATCCTAAGAGATCCCAGACAGTTGCTGTCTTAGCTCTGATAGGCTGCTCACTTCCAGAGAGTGCCCAGCCTTAGTATCCTCCTCCACCTTTGAGCACAGCTGTTTGCTAAGAATATCAGGCTTAGGCACTTTCAGACTGTTCTTGGACTTCAAATCATCTTTCCATGCTCTTTGCTCAGTCCCCAAGTAAATATTCCTGCTCAGCTTTCATCCAGATGAAGTGACCAGTGAAGATAAGCAGCTGTTCCTCCACACTTTGCCTTGCTGGAGTCCTCGTCCACACCTTGCAGACCTGGAAGCAAAGACTGGAGCGCGTGTGGTTTCGGTGCTCTCAGCTGCCTGCAGTCCCAGCACTCAGACACGAGCAGTCTCTTCCTCTCTGAGCTGGCTCTGAGCTTTGCAACAGTGCTTGTTTACAGAGGAGATCCTGAAGCTGCTTTCTGTGCTAGCCAATCCTTTACATCTGTCTCACTGCTGGAGTGATTTAGCACACAGTGCCAAGAGCCACTCTCAAACCATACATTCCCAGGTCAAGATGGTCCCTTTTCAGTTGTAATCATTCAGCCTCTGATTAATTTTCTAGTTTCTCTCCGGAGTAGAAACCTCAGAGCAATGGATACTAATCACAATATACCTCCGAAATCTGCTCTCTGCACTCATCATTGTTATTGTCTGCAGAACAAATGAGTATTCTTTTAGTGAAGGCACAGCAATTACCAATTATTTCATCTGCCTCACGAGCAGTGTTAGTGAAGAATTTCAGTAATACCTGCACATTTATGTAGCCTTTTAGCTGCATTCATCTATGCATGATCATAGTACTGCAGGAGGGAGAAAAATTCCTTCTCTCCAGAGGAAACTGAGGCAGCACAGGTCTTACCTGAAGACTGAGCTCATCTATGACACAAGTCAGGGAAGGAATCCAGAGTCCCAGTGTGATGCTCAGAAAATTCCGCCCTGGAAAAAGTTTATCAGAGAAACAAGGTTCAAATGTAAGATGATTTTGTAACACGAGCTCTAGTTTTCCTTCATTAAGTTGTTTAAAGTTGTACATTTTGGGTGCCCATCTCCCTGCTGCTTTGGGGGTTTTGGTATGTGTATCTGCCTTATTTACTGCTGGCCCATTAGAAGAGCTCTAGCGTATGATAACTTAGGGCTAGCAGATCTCTGGCCAGCTGTATCCAAACACACCATGGCTTAACAACAGCCTCCAACCATTTCAGTAGTAGGAGGTGATGAGAGCAACACAAAATGCAGGCTCAACGTCCATTGCTCGTGGGTGAAGAGAGTCCTGAACCATCTGAGCCTGCCTCAGCAGAGAGAAGTGAAACCAGGAGAGCAGAACGGAGTAGAAGGGGTTGAAGGAGCCACAGCATAAGCTGAATTTCCCTATGGAATACTGCCCTGAGGAGGCCTGTTTCCTTCCACTGAAAGATTATTCTTGTGTTTGGTTACCCCACCTAGCTGGAGAGCTAAAGAACATCTTGTGTGCCACAATGTGCAGCACACGCTCTAATCACAGGGAACAATGGTTTTCCTTGTGCTTCCACCTGAAAAATGTATCTGAAAATTTCTTCTTTAAACTCATTACGAATCCATTTACCACAGCTCTGCATTGTAATAACTGTGCCCCACATCTGAAAGCATTCCTCTACTTTCTCATTTTCAGCTGTCAAGCACTGCAGCGGGGTTTTTGTGTACTAATTCATCCCAAGGTTTACAATTGATTTCAAAAGCCCTTCAGCTGACAGCTCCATTTGGGATTTAACAAGACTGCAAACCCTAGGAGCGGCTCTGCTTGGACAGGCACGTTCCTGGGAGAAAGGGGACAGGGGGAACAAGGGGAACAAACCGGGAAAATGGCTTGGGAATACATGCATGAGAGAGAGATGTAAAAAGGCAGAGAGGAACAACCCTCATCAGAGGATGCAAGTCCATTTTCATCTTGTTCCACCCATTTTCTTCAGTGCACTCTCAGGCTGAACGGCTCCTAGGGGAGAATGCAGGGTAGCAGCCTTCTCTCAAGCTGCAAAATCTCTTCATAGATCCATCCAGACATCCAGAGGGAAATCACAATTGAATCTGTCCTGCTTTCAGTTGCTGCCCAGCCAGACACAGTGTTAATAAAGCTCTGAATCCGTGCAGGAAAGCAGATGGTGCTGGATGTAATAAATGTGACAAATGGCAGGGAGGCTTCTAAAGAGTCTCAGTATTTAGGCTGCCAATCTCACAACCATTGATTTAAATATGTCATATTTTTCAAGCTTGATTTATGTCTGCTCAGTGGAGAAAGGACAACACAGACACAAAGCAAAACCATAGGAGGTAGAATCAAAGTTAAACTCTATTAAGATCGCTATGTTGGTGCTGGGCAACCAAAAATTCTACCCCCAAATCACTTCACTGTGCTGTTTTAGGGCAGCACAGAGCTTCTACAGCTCCACAGAGAGCAGGGTTGACTGCTCTGTGTAGCTTGCCGTTCTGCATGTCTTAACACAACACTGTGGTTAGAATAGTTCGGGTTGGAAAGGACCTTAAGATCATCCAGTTCCAACCCCCTGCCCATGGGCAGAGACACCTCACACTAAATCACAGCACCCAAGGCTTCATCCAACCTGGCCTTGAACACTGCCAGGGATGGAGCATTCACAACCTCCCTGGGCAACCCATTCCAGTGCCTCACCACCCTCACAGGAAAGAATTTCCTCCTTAGATCCAATCTAAACTTCCCCTGTTTCAGTTTTAACCCGTTCCCCCTTGTCCTGTCACTACAGTCCCTAATGAAGAGTCCCTCCCCAGCATCAGTTTCTACCAGAGCCCAGCAGAAGGAACACTTCTGGACTGAATTCAGTGCTGGCATTTAACCTGCACAAGCCTGATGCAGATGGAACCAATCCTGAGGATTCTCTAAGCCTGATTCTCAGACCCCGAAGGGCAAAGAACAACCCAAACTCCTTCCTCCTGGCTGGGTTTTGCCTGCCTCTTCCCAGCCAGCTCTGTGGAGTGAAGCTTCCCTTTGGGAGTCCGAAGTGGTGAAAAGGAGGGATGAAAAGTGTGCAGATGACGCTTCCGTCCCCACATCTGTGCTTCCCCTGGCCAAAATCATTCTTCAGCACTAATCTCCCACTAAAACAGACAAACAACCCAATAAACCATCTATAACTGCTAATGAAACCAGCTTGGAATAACCAGGCTGACAGAGTCATATGGATCTGAGGAATGTTTTACATTGGTTTTGGGCATTTCTCTACCATTCTGCTTCTTTGCAGATCCAGTGTGCTCTGCTTTGTGATGTCCATCACAAGCTCTGCCAGTGTCACAGGCTTCCCGCTGATTGGTGTGACCATTCCAGCTTACAGGTAAATGCTCCAGCTAAGGAAGAGGAAAATGAAAGAGTTTGGTACCTGTTGAACCAAGAAACCATTGACCCTGTGTTCCTTCCTCTTCCACACAGCTTTTACACCTGGAAACAGTCAGAAATCTGGGGTTTGTCTGCAAGGATCAGTATAAAACCAAACTGTGTGCCCAAATGAAAAGAAATTCCAGTTTATTAGCAAAACCTTTTACAATAACATTCATTTTAGAATAAGACTTGTTTGCATGTAATTAACAACAGTGAGAAGCATAAAAACATGCTCCTGCAGGCAGATATTCAGGTATCTGTAAGTGTTGATAGTTTGAGTTGCTAAAGAAGCAATAAATGATGCTTAACCCTTCAGTAGCACTTGCATCTCTAGAAGGCAGCCTGGATGCATTATTTTACCCTTCATGGAAAACCATTCTTTCCTTTTCCTTTGGAAAAAGCCCACACATTCTAATGGTTCTAACAACCAAGTGGGGTTGGTGTCAAACCCCAGCAAGAAAGATCCCCCAAGCCTCTAACTGTGTGAAATTCCCACATCCTTTACAATCCCTTGCCCAAGAGTGGGAAAGACATCTTGAGGATGGAGAAGTTACGGAGCAATAGGTAACAGGAGCACTATTGCTCTGAGATGCTGAACTAGCGATGATTAAAGATGAACAGGCAAATTCTTCGGTTCTCTGATGCCAGGACACTGGCGGCTGAGAAATCACTGTCCTCTCTATATAATGACAGCACCATCTCGTGGTGCGCTGCAGGCCATAGAATTCTATTTCACATCTCCTACGTGCGGCAAACAGAAGGATGCTGTAAGACCCAGTATGGAATTCTTCTGTCACTGAAAACAGCACGAAAGCTTTTCATGCTGCTTTAGCATTGCTGGTTTAAGCCGAATGAACGAATTATGATTTTCTTGTGGTTAACATCATGTCTTCTATTCACAGAACCCCAGACTGGTTTGGGTTGAAGGGACCTTGGAGCTCACCCAGTTCCACGGGCAGGGACCCCTTCCACTGGAGCAGCTTGCTCCAAGCCCCTGTGTCCAACCTGGCCTTGAACACTGCCAGGGATGGGGCAGCCACAGCTTCTCTGGGCACCCTGTGCCAGCGCCTCAGCACCCTCACAGGGAAGAGCTTCTGCCTAAGAGCTCATCTCAGTCTCCCCTCGGGCAGGTTAAAGCCGTTCCCCTTGCCCTGTCCCTACATCCCTTGTCCCAGGCCCCTCTCCAGCTTTCCTGCAGCGCCTTTAGGCACTGGTCCCCCCGGAGCCTCCCCTCCCGCTCTCCCGACCCGGCGGAAGAAGCCGCGGCCACGCCGCCTTCTCCCCGCCCCGGAAGGCGCCGGGGCCGGCGCTGCGGCGAGCGGGCCGAGGCCATGGTGGTGCTGAGCGGGGCGCGCTGGCTCCGCTGCCGCCTCACGGACCGCTTCTGGAGGGTGCAGGAGGTGCTCAAGTATGCGCGGGTGAGTGAGCGGCGGCCGACGGGCAGCGCCCGAGCCGCCTGGCCCCTCGGTGGGTGCCCGCAGCCCCTTCCCTTGCGGGGCTTGGAGCACCCTGCTCCAGTGGAAGGCGGCCGGGGTTGGGAGTGGGTGATCGTTGAGGTCCCTTCCAGCCCAAACCAGTCTGGGACTAAACCTGGAGGCCATAAACATGCACAGTGCTTGTGCCGCAACACAGCACCCACGTGCCAATGTGATTTTAACCTTGGCCTTTCTTCAAGTGCATTTTGCAAGGTGAAAGAGGCTGCTTCGCAGTGTGATTTCAGCTGAAGCTCAAGCTATCAAGCCTAGGCTCAGGAAGAGCCTTTCTTTTTCAAGGGCAGCCTGTTTGCACCCAGTAGTGTGTCTTGCTCTAGGAGTGAGATGGGAAACGTTGAAGTAAATGACAGCATCTTGGTGCCCTCAGAACCCGTCGTAGTTACTAATTTATCTGTGCAGCACTGGTGCTTCATGTTAGATGGATGTCAGTGGATCCCCAGTAAACTCCTTTCGTTATACTTTCTGTCGGGGCAGCTGCATGGTTTTGATGTTTCAGAGGCTCCTGTCCCATCCTTGTCTTCATCCTGTCAAAACTAAGGGGGAATGAGAATAAACGCATGAGTGTAGGGGTTGGGAAAGCACTGAAGATGATTCTGTGCTTGCCTCCCCCCCAAAGCCTAAAATGAGGTCTGGTTTTGGCTCCCTCCTGCTGGACCAAAATGCTCCAACTCCCCAGCTTCACAAAAGAGTATGTCCATTTTATGCCAACCTGAAGGCTTAGCTGCTGGTTGTCAAGTATTCAGTGATCCTTGCTAGGAAGTGTTGAGGAACGCAAACCAGCACTTATTAAGTATTATTAAGTATTAAGGATTTAACAGCCTTAAAGATAACTGGACAAGAACATGTCGGGTTTCTTCCAGCACTTCCGTGGCAGGAAGAACCGCTGCTACAAGCTGGCAGTACGGAGCGTCCGGAGAGCCTTTGTGAAGTCCACCAAGGCCAGGAGAGAGAAGAAGAGGTTCCTGAGAGCGGTAAGGAACAACATGTTAGATCTATAATGGGGAAGAGCACAGCTGAAAGAGCTGTTTTCCTTACTTGGTGGGGTGTGGGGGTGGTCTCAAAATGCTTTAATAACGGGTTAAAGATATGAGTTTGAAGTAAGCATATCCCTCTGTGGTGCGAAACAGCTCACATCCTGAGGTTCATTCATGTAGATGTTGCACTGAGAAGACTCTAGGCCTGAATATGTTATCTGTGAGCAGAGCAGCATGACAAAATGTTTCCTGTTAAAGTATTTTATCATCCAGAGTGTTCATTTTTACCCTTTCAGCTCTGGATCACTAGGATTGGAGCAGCTTCTCTGGAACATGGTTTGAAGTACCCATCTTTCATAAGCAATCTGCTTAAGGTAAGGATGGTGCTTGAAGAATAACCACTTTGAAACAACACATTGTCTGAGAGGGGTCTTCTGCAGTGCCAGGCAAATGAGTTTCCTAAAACTCTGAAATCTTTCAAAGAGATGTAGTCTACCAAAGCAGATCAGAGGGTTGCTGGTTCCTGTCTAAGGATGAAACTGCCAAGGACTGCAGCTGCAGCATCCACTTGCCTCTCTTTGAGGAGTAACAGCGGCACAGGGCATGGTGGAGGGATGGAAAAGATCCTTCTGTCAGGCACCTTCTGCCAACACTGCCCTGCTTTCTTCTTCTAGTGATGAATGGCATTCTGCTTAGGAGAGCAGGTTTGTTCACTTCAGGAACTAAGTTCTGCCCTAAACCTGTTCCTCCTGTGCACAATGTTCACCTCGTATCCTGCTTAACAGTGTTGCTCTACACCTTGTTCTGTTCCCAGAACTTTTACTGTGCATCTTAAGAACAGTTGTAAAATGCTTTTACACTTGCTGCTACTGCACGCATTAAAGCCTTGCCTTTTACTCCAAGAAATTTAAACGTACGAAGCTTGGGTTAGCAAAAACAACCTTAAGAAACTCTATTCCTTTCACTGGCGTTGTGTTTCGGGGAGTACAGGCAATGAGTTGGGGCTGTTGTCCCTTGTTCTTAAACATGTCAGGGGATTGGCTTGAATTTGGTGGTACTGGAACTGCAAACGGCTGTAATAAAAAGGTAATGTTTGTCCTCTTAAGAGGGGAGCTACGCATAAATTTATAGCATATTTCAAAACATTGTATTTTAAATCAATAGATAACTTCCTAGGTTTTCTGACATGTTGAAATATGAAATTCATACGCTTGTGCTCCTGGTTACTCTTGTCACAGTGTAACCAAAGCATCAAGCTCTACCAAAAAGCCAACTCAATTTTTCCTTCTTTTTCCCTTTTTTTTTCCCCTCTGTCCCTTTGATTCTTGTCTCAGGGCAATGTGCTTTTATAAGGTTCTTTGTTAAAAGATCCAAACTGTTTTCAGTAATACTTACCTAAAGGATGTGCACTAACTATGCAGTATCTAGTGTTGTTAAGGGTGTTTGACCCTACAGTCTGTGTTTTTCTCTAGGACACATTTTAATGTTCTAAGCAGCTTATAGACAAGTAAACTTGATTATGTCTAAGAGCCGAAGCAAATGCCATGGGTTAACCTGTAACACGTGGCCTGCCACAAAATGAGAGGTTCTTCAGTTCTTGGTTTCTACTTGGAGAAAGTCAGTGAACAAATGTTATGAGACACCCATGGTTGAGTTGTGTGACAGTCCTCCAAGTTCCCACACTGTACAGCATAGAAAAAAGGTCATTTAGGACTTGAGGCAATCATTAAGCACTGTAGTGTTGTTCCTAAAAATTACAGTACTTAACCAACACATCCTCTTGTGTTTAGTCCCAGGTGGAGCTGAATAGGAAGGTGATTGCAGATCTGGCTATTTACGAGCCAAAGACATTCAAGTCCCTAGCTGCCTTAGCCCAGAGGAGGAGACAAGAAGGCTTCCTTGCCGCCCTGGGAGATGGGAAAGAACCAGAGGGGATCTTCTCCCGCATCGTACACCGCCAGTATTGATGGCAAAGAGCCTGCAGACGCGTGTTATGAACAGGAACTTGTGCTGCAGGGTCAGCTCGCTTACTGACCGCTGCTGAGGGAGCGTGGCTGTGGGGCAGAGTCCTCACAGATGGTTCCAGAAGGAGGAGGAGGAGGAGGGGAGGGCCTGGGTGCAGGGGTGACCGTCCCCTGCGGTGGTGTGACTGAAACCGCGGTTTGAAGTCGGGGCTGTAGCAATCCCGCTGTTGATGACGCCTCTGTCCCATTAATGAACTTAATAAAGGCGATTTTGGTTAATTCCTAGCGGGAAAGCGGTGACTCGGGGGCTCCATCGCTCCTAAGGGAAGCGGCCCGCACCGGAAGTCCTTCCCCGGCCGCCCTGTTCGAATTCCCAACCGCTGCGTCACGCCGCTACGTTCGGCTCCGGGGCTGTGCGTCATACGTCAGAGCGGCCGGGCCAATGGGTGAGCGCCGCTTCGCTGCGCCCCACCAATAGGCGACGACCGGAGGTGGAAGAAGGGAGGGGCTGCGGGGAAGGAGAGCTCGGCCAGGCGAGGCGGCGGCACCACAAAATGGCGGCGGGGCCCGGTAGCGCGGCGGCTGTGGCGGCGGTGGGAGGCGGCGGCCCCGCGGGGCCTCAGGCCGCCGGCGCGATGGCGCCGGGGTCCGCTTCGGCGGGGAGCGGAGCGCCGGTGCCGGGCCCTGGAGCGGTGCTGATCGGGGACCGGCTGTACTCCGGGGTGCTGATCACGCTGGAGAACTGCCTCCTGCCGGAGCACACGCTGCGCTTCACCCCATCCATGAGCAGCGGCCTCGACCCCGACACCGAGACCGAGCTGCGCGTCACGGGCTGCGAGCTCATCCAGGCGGCCGGCATCCTACTCCGTCTGCCGCAGGTGGGGCTCGGCCGCGGCCTGGTCGGGCGGGGTGGGGAGGCCTCTCGCCGAGGGAGAGCTTTGTTTGCCGGGCCTCGGCGGGGCGGCGGGCGAAGCCGGGCCTCGGCCGCCATCCACAGCCGCGGGTAGGGGGCAAGGTGGGGAGTTGTCCCTTTTAGCTGGGGTTTGGGCCGCGGGGCCTGCGGCCTTCCCCGCCCGGCCGGGAGCAGGAAGCGGGTGATGTAAGCGCCTTCCTGCGCCGCCTCCCCCGGCAGGCCCGGGCGGTGCCTGTTTAATACCGGAGCTTGCGAAAAGCAGGAGGTTTGTAGGCTCTTTTGGCGTTGTTGTGGCCTCGGGAGCGGTTTGTTTCCTGGTGAAATCCTATAGGAAACAGCCGCGATGCTCTCCCGAGTGTAAAACTTTCCAGCTACTGAGTTTCAGCTGCTTAAATTCATAGAGTCGCAGAAGGGATTGGGTTGGGCTTTAGAAAGCTCATCCAGTTCCAAGTCCCTCCCATGGGCAGGGACACCTTCCACTAGACCAGGTTGCTCAAACTGTGTTATAAATACATGCAAATCATAATATAATTAGATTTCTTCACTCCCCAAGCCAAAGTAAGGTAAAGTTTTCCTGATTACTGCCATAACTCTCACTTTTATTGGGTTCTAGTGTTTAGGCTGGTGTTGGGTTTCTTCTTTCTTATTTATTTGGAGCATGTTTTCACCGTTCATAAAAGAAGTTTGCACTTTAATGCGTGTATTTGACTTAAAGCCTATTTGCGGTGTTGATAACGTATTGGGCATCTTAATTTGTTACTAAGGTAGGGTGCTAGTTTCCTTTTGCTGCCACTGAACTTGCTCCCATGTTAATGTAGCCTAGCTAGTCTTCTGGGTCATAGATCTGTTAAAATCATGCTAAGGAATTTCTCTTTGGAACTGATATTGTTGTTAATCCCTGTTGTGGTTGCTCTTGCAGGTGGCTATGGCTACAGGACAGGTGCTATTTCAGCGTTTCTTTTATACCAAGTCTTTTGTGAAGCATTCCATGGAGGTAAGAACACACTAAAATATGTGTATGGCTCAAATCTGACTTGATCTTTGATCTGTTTTGGCAGGTTGTCATCTTGGAGGTGATCGGATTGTTAGTAACTAGCCTGTAGCATTTACTTACTGATAACATGACTTTACAATGCTATATAGCACTGATTTAGCCTAATCTTTAGTATTTCCTTGTTTTACCACTGTTTTCTGTTGTTATCCCTCCTTAAGCTGTTGGAGGAGATCAGTTCCTGAGTTGAGCAAAACATCAGTATCTTGCAATACTTCTCTTTCAGCATGTGTCAATGGCCTGTGTTCACTTGGCATCCAAAATTGAGGAGGCACCAAGACGCATAAGGGATGTGATTAACGTGTTCCATCGGCTCAGACATCTACGGGAAAAAAAGTAAGCTCACACTTTGACATAATCTGAAGTGTTTCTGGTGTATTTTAATCATTAAACTTCCTGGGCCAGTGATTGTATCATTCCCTATCTTGTAAATCAGGGAGCATCTTGAAGAGATCTCGTAAAGGAGAAAAATAAGTTGACCCATTTTATGAAGTGAATATTTTTGGTGTTATGAACACTGATGTCCCTTATTTTTACACAAACACAACCTGCTTATGAGCTCTCCTTGAGATCAAGATCATCTTCAGTATTTGAAACTATCTTGCAGAAAACCTGTGCCTCTAATACTGGATCAAGAATATGTGAACTTGAAGAATCAAATAATTAAGGCAGAAAGAAGAGTGTTAAAGGAGTTGGGATTTTGTGTTCATGTGAAGCACCCTCACAAGGTTAGTACTATATAAGTTAACTTCCTAATCAGTGTTTCATATGCTATAAATGGTTTGATTAGCTGCCTAATTGTATGGAAAGTGTATGGTTGCAATGATAAAGCTAGTTAATTCAGTAAAGCTAGTTTCTTACGATCCCAATCTCTTCTTTCTCATTCAAGAGATTCTTACTAATTGGTCTTGTATCACTGCTGAATGACGACTGGAGGTGGATGCAGATGCTAAGTATTCCTTGAAGTCAAATCACATAAGTAGGTAGCTTTGGTGCTAGAAGACATCAACTAAACACAGGTCCTTACGCAGAAAGGCATTTGGAGACTTAAGGTTGTGATGGTCTGTTATCCCCGTGTGGAAATATGCTGAGGTTATGAAACCCATATGAGCTAGTTAAATGTTCCTTATGTTCTGAAAAGTACACTTAGGTGTGAAGGGCTTGATAGAAATGAGACAGTTCTCAATATCTCATGTCAGATTAGGATGATAGTAGAGATGCAGCTACTGCAAATGTTCAGGTTGGTGCTTGAGCATCATGCCATAGGTAGCTGAGTGGTAAAAGAACTTCCTACTTTTGTGCCAGCAGAACTTGGGTTCTTGCTCTTTCTTCTTCTAAAAACTACCATTGTCTTAAAGTCATCCTTTTAAACCTACTTGACTTTCAGAATTCACTTGTTGGTACCCCAGAGGACAGTTGTACTTATTTGCTAGTTAGTGTAATTTTTTTGCTGCTAGTCTTTCTATCTGCATCCTTGTATTCAAACCAAAGGGAAAGCCTAGAACTGAATAAACCAGTGGCACACAGCATGTTAGATCTGTTCTCTGCAAGCACTCTTCTTCTTCACTGCTTATTGCAATATTTTCTTCCAAGTTATAGCTAAAAGGAGTCATGAGTTGTATAGGAGAACATACCTAGCTTGAAAACAGTTGAAGAGGAGACATCTAGATGTGCCTGAGCACAGAAGATGGAAAGCTAGGAAGGTCAGGTCTGTTGAGTGGCCAGCTTTTGCGTTGGAGAGCAGAAGCTGTGTGGAGAAACACTGGGGATGTTGCAGACGCTCATGTGGAGTGTTTTAGAACTTGAAAGAGTTACAGATGCCTCATGGATGTCCCTCTGAAATAAGTAGGTGGCTCTCAAGATGCTTGTTAATAACTCGATAACCCATATCTTCCAGATAATCGTTATGTACCTTCAGGTATTAGAATGTGAACGTAACCAACACCTGGTCCAGACATCATGGTAAGTTGATCTTCTTTGTTATAAGAGACCAGCAGGGGCAGTAGCAGAAATATGTCACTTGAGGCACTCTGGGCAGCATTGCTCAGATATGATTGTGGGCCACACCAGACAGCTCCACTGCTTCTTGGCGTGCCCCAAACTACTACCCAAATGTTGATCGGCCTCTTAAGTTAGAGGTGCTGTTTTAATGGTAAGGTAGCTTTCCACCCTGACTTCTCACTTCCCTCCTCTCTGCTTTTGCTCTTCAGCTGAAGGGAAAATGTTGGGTGGGTTATAGACTTTCCTTGGGGTTTTTGTTTTCAGCCACAACTATGTGTAGTTAAAGTGCTGGGAACTGGCTTTTTCAGGGCTTGAGCTTGATTACAGGGGTATCAAACGCTCAGCACAGATCCATTTCATTAACCATATGGGTAATACAAGATGTCAGCTTCTAAGACTGGATAAATTTGTTCATGTTTGCCAAGAAATATCCTCTGCCTTGCTCTCATTACGGTAGAGATTTGCCTGGGGATGGGAAGCTTATGTAAAATTGTAGGTCTTAAAGTTTGCAAGTAATGCTTTTAAACTATAATGCTTTTTAACAAAGAGTGTGGTTTAAAAACCTTTAGTGAATCCAAAGATCATATTTCTGCTGACTGAACTGTCTGGTACTGTAACCTGCGTGTAGAGAACCAGTTTTGACTTTTCTTTTCTGTACTCTTTTAATCAAAGGGTAGCCTCTGAGGGTAAGTGACTAAGACTTCTCCTCTGCTGCCCAAGCGCTATGGTGCAGGGATAGCTGCCGTCTTCAGTCAAACCAAAGCAGGCTCTCCAAAGAGAAGGCTGACTCTAGACAGGTGGTATATACATGATAGTATAGTAACTGGCCAACTGCTTCTTGTGCTTATACTTTTTAACTTTTATTTTGATTGTGTCTTTTGACTGTTGTATATTTTATAACCTGACTGTTGAAGTTCTCAAAGATATTTAATGTTCTATTTTGATAACTATTAAAATGGTGGGATTTAAGTCTTTAAGGGATGAATTAACACAAACTGAAATCTAGTTTCCATTTGTAAACTAGTTAGAAAACATTTAAGTACATGTATGAAGCTTGGAGTCAAATGTAATACTTGGAGAAACTTCCCACAACCAGATCTCCCAGTACTGCTGCAGGAAGTACTCAATGTGAGTTGTGGACTACTCATTTCCAGTGTGCTGCTTGTTATGAA